GGCTAATTTTTGTATTTTTAGTAGAGACGAGGTTTTACCGTATCCATCAGGCTGGACTTGAACTCCTGGCCTCAGGTGATCCGCCCGCCTTGGACTCCCAAAGTGCTGGGATTACAGGTATGAGCCACCGTGCCCGGCCTAGCCCCACTCTTAATGAAGGGTTTTTTTTGGTGGGGAAGGATGGACAGAGTCTCACTCTGTCACCCAGGTTGGAGTACAGTGGTATGATCATAGTTCACTGTACCGCAAACTCCTGGGGTCAAACGATCCTCTTGCCTCAGCCTCTGCCAAGTAGCTGGGACTACAGGAGTGCACCATAATGACCAGTGAATTTTAAAAATTTTTTTGTAAAGACAGAGTCTCGCTTTGTTGCCCAGTCTGGTCTTGAACTCCCGGCCTCAAGCGATCCTCCTGTCTCAGCCTCCCAAAATGCTGGGATTGTAGGCATAGCTATCGCACTGGCCTGTCCGCACTTCTTTTAGCACAGGTACTCAGTTAAAAAAAAAAAAAAATCATTACATGTTTTTTGAATAAAATGATTCTTTTAACAAGGGCTTCCTAAATATTTGGTATGGACTGGGCATCGTGGTAAGTGCTGAGGATGCCGTGGTGAACAGGGTGATTATGGTCTCCCTCCGTGTGGAACTTACAGCCTAGCAGGAGAGGCAAGGATTAATTCAACAGGCACTCAGATAAATAAGCCATTACAACCTATGCCAGTGCCAGGAACCATGGAGAGAGGATGCTGTAAGAACAAATAATAGCAGGGCTGATCTAGTGGGGGAAGAGGTGCTGGTCAGGGAGGACTTCTCTGAGGAGGTGACATTTGAACGCTAAAGCAAGTGTAGGAGTTAACCTTGCAAAGGTGAGGAGGAATGTTCCAGTCAGGGGAAGGAAGTCTCTGGCAGGGAGGAGCCTTGCCAGGTGGAGTTACTGATAGCTTGTCCTTGTGTCAGGAGCAGAATGCCCCGCAGTTCAGCAGGTCTCCCTTGCCATGGTGTCAGAGAAGCCCCACGGCAGAAAATGAGAGCTCAGTTGGCATCCCTGAGAGGAGACGCTGTCAGGTAACACTGCAGGAAGCCGGTTACTGTAGCAAAGTATGGAGTCAGACCTGGGCTGAGCACTTCACACCCATTAGCATGGCTGTTATAACAAAACAAAAACAGAACGTAGCAAGTGTTGACAAGGATGTAGAGAAATTGGAATCCTTGTGCATGGTTGGTGGGATGTAAAGTGGTGCAGCCACTGTGGAAAACAGTATGGTAGTTCCTCAAAAAATTAATCATAGAGTTACCGTATGATCCATCAATCTCACTTCTAAGTACATACCCAAAAAGATTGAAAGCAGGGACTCAAACAGATATTTGTACATCCATGTTTATGGCAGCATTATTCACAAGGGCCAAAAGATGGAAACAACCGCAACATTCATCGAGAAATGAATGGATAAATAAAATGTGGTACAAACATTGAATGAATATTATTCAGCCTTAAAAAGGAATGCAGTTCTCGCTGGCGCAGTGGCTCATGCCTGTAATCCCAGCACTTTGGGAGGCTGGTCGGGAGTTCAAGACCAGCCTGACTAACATGGCAAAACGCCGTCTCTACTAAAAATACAAAAGTTAGCTGGATGTGGTGTCATGTGCCTGTAGTCCCAGCTACTCAGGAGGCTGAGGCAGAAGAATCACTTGAACCTGGGAGGTGGGGATTGCAGTGAGCCAAGATCGCACTACTGCTCTCCAGCCAGGGCGACAGAATGAGACTCCGTCTCAAAAAAATTAAAAAATCAGTAAATTAAATAAAGAAAGAATAAAGGAATGCAGTTCTGATACATTCTACAGCATGGATGAACGTTGAAGACATTATGCTAAGTGAAATCAGCCAGACCCAAAAGGGCAAATACTCTGTGATTCTGGTCATATGAGGTACCTAGAATAGTCAGATTCAGAGAGACAGGGTAGAAACACGGTTGCCAGAGCCTGGGGGAGGAGGGAGTGGGGAGTTAGTGTTTAATGGTAATAGAGTTTCAGTTTGGGAAGATGAAAAAGATCTGGAAATGGATGATGATTCCATTGGTTACACAGTAATGTGAATGCACTCAATGCCACTGAAGTTACGCTACAAAACGGTTACAATGGTAAATTTTGTTATATATATTTTACTGCAATTTTTTTTTTTTTTTTTGAGACAGAGTCTTGCTGCGTCACCGAGACTGGAGTGCAGTGGCGCAATCTCAGCTCACTACAGCCTCTGCCTCCCGGATTCCAGAGATTCTCTTGCCTCAGCCTCCTGGGTAGCTGGGATTACAGGCACATACCACCACGCCCAGCTAATTTTTGTGTTTTTAGTAGACGGAGTTTCAACATGTTGGCCAGGCTGGTCTTGAACTCCTGACCTCGTGATCCACCCACCTCAGCCTCCCAAAGTGCTGGGATTACAGGCGTGAGCCACCGCGCCTGGCCTGCAATTTTTTAAAAAACTAAAAAGAGAGGGGTGATGACCCAAGTATAACATGTGGGAAAGACTCACGGACATGGTGCAGAATGGTGCAGCACACCCCTGTCTGAGCATCAGAGGTTCCCACGCTCCTGAAACCCTCTCCTCACGCAGCTTCAGGGCTCCACTCTCTCCTGGTTCTCCCTCTTCCTCTCGGGCTATTCTTCCTGTTATCCTTTAACGGATTATTTTTTCTCCAGCCTCTTCTAAAAATTTTATTAGTCAAACTATTGCTGATACAGTGTTACATAACACACAGCCCCCGAATCTCAGTGGCTTATAATAAAAGCCATTTATTTCTCACTTACAGGTCTGCAGTCAACTAGGCAGCTCTGCTTCAGGGTACAGCTTGAGTCTGTCCCATGTGTCTCCCATTCTGGGGTACAGGCTGAAGGGCAGAGGCTGCCTGGCATGTTCTTTCCAGAGTAAAAGGAGCATCAGTGGCCAGGCCAACTCACGCAAGGCTCACATCCGCTTCCAAGTCACATGGCCAAGCCGAGCATCAATGGGGCGGGAAGGGGGAGTGAATGTTTGCTGAACAGTAGTAAAATCTACCACAGATGGGCTTCTCTGAGACTCTGTCCTGGACCTTCTCTCTCTCTTTGGGCAAGTGCACATGGCACTGATTGCACCTGAACCTCAATGACAATGACTCCTGAATCCATCCCACTGGCGCGGACCCTTTTCCTTAGCCCCAAAGCCATGTGTGTTCAGTCACAGTGCATTTCCATCTGCTTGTCTCTCTGATGCCTCAAAGTCCATGTGTCCAGAGCTGGCCTCATTATTTCTCCCCATCCAATTCCTGTAGTCAATCTCCATCTCTGTACCTGGCACCAACATCCTCCCGCCGGGTGAGGAGAGCACACAGAAGGTGCCATGTTTACCAGATCCAGCTGGCCAAGCTTGGCACTGGCTGGGAGTGAGAAAGAGGAGGAGCAGAGACCGGCCCCATGGTGTGTGGTAGAGATGGTTGGGTCCAGCCCTGAATTGTTGCACAGCCCCTGACTGGTCTCCCTGCCTTCAGAACACTCCCCTTCACCCTTCCTTCCCCAGCCAAGGGATGTGTTTAAGGCACAGGTCTGACCATGTCATGCTCCTGCTTAAAACTCTTTGGGGAATCCCCATTTCATCCAAAATGAAGCCCAAATTCCACAGCAAAAAGATTCAAGGTCCTTCATGCTCTATCTCTCTCCATAGCCCGTTGCTTGTCGGGGATTGTCCTGGATGTGGGGGATGGGTGTGTGAACAAGAGAGCTGTGGTCCCTGCTCCGTGGAGGTTTGTCACCTGTGGGGAAGCAGATGACTCCATTAGTACCTACGAGATCCAATGTGACAAGGGTGGTGATGGAACACACAGGCCCCCATGGGCACAGTGCAGGGGCGCTAAGCTGCCCCAGGGCTTCAGGGAAGGTAGCTGGAGGAAGTGACCTTCCTTCCTCAGGCTGTAATGGGAATGGGTGAGCGCTCTCAGGGGGAAGCTAGGGACAGGCTCCTAGGTTTACCAGCAGGGCTGATGCAGGAGGAGCCAGTGAAGGAGACCAAGGAGGACTGCCCAGCGCCACAGATGAGGAGACAGCCCAGGGAAGACAGTGCTTCCAGGAGAGAGTGGCCGAGCAACACAGCTTTTGGAAAGAGCTCTGTGAAGGGCACAGCTGGCCTGTGTAGAGCAGTTTTGTTTGTTTGTTTGTTTTTGTAGACGGAGTCTCCCTCTGTTGCCCAAGCTGTAGTGCAGTGGCGTGATCTCGGCTCACTGCAAACTCCGCCTCCCGGATTCAAGCAATTCTCCTGTCTCCCTCCCAAGTAGCTGGGACTACAGACACCCGCCACCATGCCCAGCTAATTTTTGTATTTTTAGTAGAGATGGGGTTTCACCATGTTGGTCAGGCTGGTCTCGAACTCCTGACCTCAGGTGATCCACCCACCTCAGCCTCCCAAAGTGCTGGGATTACAGGCATGAGCCACCATGCCCGGCCACATAGAGCAGTTTTAAGTGAATGATGAGGCTGGAGCCAGACCCTGGCAGTGGAGGAGTGGAAGGGAGGCAGAGGAGAGAGAATGCAGTGGAGGAGTGGGAGGGAAAGCGGAGACAGCAAGTGTGGATAACTCTTGGGGGAAGAGATAGCCAGCACCCAGAGATAAGAGTGTTGCTGTGTTTTGCTGGAAAGTGGAAGACACTAGAACCTGCACAAATGCTGATTGCAGGGAGTCCATGCAGAGGGCAAGGCTGGAGGAACTAGGTGGAGGTTTAGGGTGAAGCTAGCATGGAGTCCCTAAGAAGAGGGAGGAGAGTGGCCTCAGCAGGGTTGGAGAAGTGCCTTTACCTCTCTGGGCACACAGACATGGAGGTACTCAGCCTGCACCATCGAGGCACTCGCTGTCTAGGGGATGAGGCTGTCCAGGGGAGATAAGTTTGGAGCTGTGACTTTAAAGGATGAGTAGGAGTTTGCTAGGCAGAGCAGCAGGGGTAGAGGGATGCCAGACCATGGGAACAGCATGGGCAAAGGCACAGAGGCATGAGGCAGCCAACTTGTTAGAGCAATGGTTGGTTGAGGGAGTGCACATGGGGCTCAGGAGGAAGTGGTGATAGATGAGAGTGGAGAGGTGACCAGGGGGCTCTTGCAGCTTCACGTAGAAATTCATGAGCATCTGTGAACTCAGGACCCAGCCTGGACACCTGTGGATGCTGAGGGATGCCAAGAACATGTTCCTGTTCACGTCCGTGTTGCCCGGTACTTGGCTTACATGTGTGCTGAATAAATGAAGCATTCATGTTTTGTGGCAAAGCGTAACAGAGTAATTTCATCCTGAGGATGAGTGTGCTGGAAATGGCATGGTTTCTTCATCTGAGCCACTCATTCCATTCCATCTGTGTGCCCGACACTGCATGGATGGGGATACAGAGGTCAACACTAGACGCCCAAAGAGTGCTCAGTAACGGTTGATTATTCCCCTATGGAGCCCTGTGTTCAAAATCTCCCTTCTAGCCACCCCTCCTGCAGGGGCTCCAGCTCTGCTTCCCTCCCCCATCAGCCCGTGCTGGGGGTTGAGAGGACTCCAGAGACACGCGGATGACACATGGAGTGTGCCAGTCAGCGGCCCTCTCACCCTCGCAATCTGGGGCACCCGGAGCAGAGCTCGCAGGCTCGTTCTCTGATTCTGATTCCTGTTTCCAGGGAAACAGTCATCGGCAAACGTCAAAGTCCCAGCTTTCAAATACAGGTCTCTTCCAAAACTTACTGTCACGTGATTCATAGGCTCCACAGTTGTGGAGGCGGCAGAAACCTCTGAGAGCACCCCACCCTCCACCTCACCACAAGGGTCCTAGCTCCCAGTTGAATGCTCTGTCCTTTATCTGGCACTGCTTCCAACCCAGGAGGCCCAGGAAGCCATCCTGAACTGTTAGTTTGGGCCTAAGTTTACCCATCCGTATGATGAGGCGATAGTTCCTGAAGTCAACAAATGTTTGTTGAGCACCTGATGATCCTTCCAGCCAAATGCAAGAGAGCCCAGGGCAGTGGGTACAGGGAGTGGCAGTGGTTACATTGGGAGCTTGAAGAGGACACTGGAAGGAGGGAATGAGAGAGCACCAGTCGCCCAGGAGCACTAGTGCCATGGCGCTGAGCAGGCTGGCAGGAAAAGAGCTTATCCAGCAGCGCCCCTGGGCTGTGGCTCTCTCCCCATCTGGAATGCTGGCCCTCTGCTCCCTCTCCTGGGAATCCCACCTTCTCATCTCTCTACGATGCCTCTGTCTCTCTGCGTCTTTACATGTTTCAGCCTCTTCTGTCTCTATGTCTTGGCTTATCTCTGTCTCTGGGTCTTTCTGGACACTTGCCCTTCAGTCTCTTTCTGTGGGCGTCTCTGATTTTTTAACCTCTCTGTGAGGTTCTCCATTCTCCCACTAGAAAGACCCATGAGGACAGAGATTTTGTCTGTTTTGTCTTTTGTTTTATTCTCAATGCCTGGAATGGCACCTGGCACATAGTAGGTGTTCAGCAAGCGTTTGTCAAATGAATTCTCTCTTTGTCTGTTTCTCTCTCTCCCACCCCGCCTTCTTGCGTATGTCTGTCCTCCTCTCTTGTCGTCTCTCCTGGTCTCATCTGCTGTTTGTGTATCTTTTGCCTTCTGTTTCTCTCTCTCCTTTCCTTTCTTTGTCTCTCTCCTCTTTACTCAGTCCCTCTCATTCTCGCTCTCGCTCTCACTGTTCTGCCTCTCTGTTGCTGCTGGCCCCTCTTGAACACATGCACGCACACACACATAAAACCATCTGCAGCATTCCTTCCCATAAATGTTTCCTAGGTTGTTATGGGTTTAGGAAACCTAACTTCAAGCCTTCAGCTCCAACCCTCAGAGAGTCGCCCACACACACTCCCCCACTTCCCCAAATTACCATTATAAACAGGACAAGACATTGGGCAGCCCACAGCAAAACTGGGCAGTCAGCAGCTTGTTTCTGAAGCCTTCCGCTGGCTCCTGAGTCACTGTTACCCTCTGCTCAGTGCCACTCCCTGAACAGAAGGACCCCAAGGCCAAAGGACTGCCACTTTCAATTGTCTGCGCTAGGAAAAGTTTCTGACACCAACCACTCATTGCCTTGGTGTGACCCTACTCACCATCACACTTCTTCAGAGGCCTGTCTAAAAGTTTCTTCTCTGGGGGCTGAGCATGGCATCTCATGCCTGTAATCCCAGCACTTTGGGAGGCTGAGATGGGAGGACCACTTCAGCCCAGGAGTTCAAAACCAACCTGCAAAACCTCATCTATCTCTCTCTCTTTTTTTTTTTTTTTTTTTGAGACGGAGTCTTGCTCTGTCGCCCAGCCTGGAGTGCAGTGGCCGGATCTCAGCTCACTGCAAGCTCCGCCTCCTGG